TACAAACAGCCCCAGTATAGAAACCAGCCCCAGCCCCAGCCATGACAAAACAGGCCACCCAGCCCCAGCCCCAGCCAGCACACACAGCCAGGCCGCCCACCCGCATCCAGGCGCTTCACGATGCGCTCGCCCCGTGCGTCGATGGCGCGGGTGGTCAGCGCCGCCTCCAGCCCCAGGTCAGACACCTGGGCGGGGGCGGGAGGGGGAGGGCGGCGGGGTGGGTGGGGGGGAGGAGGAGGGCGGCGGGGTGTGTGTGGAGGTGTGTGGTGTGTCAGTGCGTGGGCGGGCGGGGGTCGATGTAGGCAAAGGTGGGGACATGGGCTGGGGTGCAGAGCTCACAGCAAAAGCCGTAACCCGGGAGCAACGCTGGCGCCAAGCCATACCGGCGCCACACCCTCAAGCTTGGGAGGCCCTCCACAAGCCCCATTCCCGCCGCCCTGCCCTGTGCCGCTCTGCTCACCCCCAGCAGCCGCGCCGCCGCCTCCAGGGCCGCGATGCCGGCGCCGCCCGCCACCGCCGCCTCGTCGCGGCTGGAAAGCGTGAAGTCGACGTTGCCGAGGTGCAGCACGCCCGCCACTGTGCGCAGCACTGGAGCAAGGGGGCGGGGGGGGAGGAAGGAGCCGGGCTCTATTATGTCCTCCCTAGGGAGGCAGGTGGGCAGGGAGTGGGGTGGTGGCAGCCCCGCGCAGCGGCTGCTGGTGCATCTTGCATCCTGTCGGAGCACTGCCGGCCCCGGTCCTGACTCGGACACCCAGGGGGGAAGCGGGCTGGCTCCATCGGTACTGCAAATACTGCACCGCGCGGTACCGCCAGTACCATCTCCTCACCCGCATCCACGTGGTGCTGCTGCAGGCCCACGATGCGCATCGCCTCCAGGGTGTGCCTGCGGGGCGGTACGGAGCCGGGCGGGGGCGGTACACACAGCAGCAGCATGAGCCGCCGTGCTCGACCGCTGCTCTGCGCGCCCCACCGGCGCCAGGGTGGCACGTAGCTACTTTGCTGCAGCACCCCTGATCGACTCAGACATCTCCTCAGCTGCCTGGCACTTCACAAGCCATGCCTCCTGCGCCCTGCCCCACGCTGCCACCCACCCACACACACCTGAACTCCTGGGCATCATCCACATCTGTCAGCGTGTACACGTCAGACTGGTGCAGGTAGCGGAAGGAGGCGGCGCCGCCCTCCAGGCTGCAGGGGTTTGCCAGTGCAGGTGTGGGTGTGGGTGTGAGGGAGGGCAGCCGGGAACTGGCCGGGGCAGGCGGGGGAAACAGGCAAGGCAAGGAGCGCCAGCGGCGCCCGGCGGCGCGGGGGCGGCGCTGCGGGCCCTCCCCCCCGCTCCTGCCGCTGCTCGGGGCTGGCCCCCGCGCACAGTTGGTAGAAAAATAGGTAGGAACGGCTGGGGGCCCTTGATGCTGACCACGCGAACCTGCGGGGGAGGGGTGTAGGGTGGGGCACGGGTAGTGGGCCAGGCAAGAGCATATGACGCGGTGTGTCGGGCTGGTGGCGCGCCTGCAAGGGCAGAGCTGCATGGCAGGCGCGCAGCCGCGGTCGGCACCGCTCAACCGCTAGCCACGCCGTGCAGCTCCCCCTCAGCGGCCACCACCCCACACACAACACGGCCCCGCCACACCACCCGCCACCACCGCCCCGCACACAACACCACCCCTACCACACACAACACAGCCCACCGCCAACACCACACCGCCACCGCCGCCCCGCACCTCTCCAGCAGGTATGTGGAGATGGAGGCGCCCGCCACGCGGCCGCCGCTGTCAAAGTCGATTTCCACAAACTTTCCAAAGCGGGAGGAGTTGTCGTTGCGCGAGGTCTTGGCGTTGCCAAAGGCCTCCAGCAGAGGGTTGGACTCGAGCACCTGGCGGGGCAGGGGCGAAGGCAGAGGCAGGTGGCGGGCGGAGGGTTTGATACTGGTGGTGGTGGTGGCGGTGTGAAGCAGGTGAGGGCATGCGGAGGGCGGGCGTGGGAAGCTGGGAGGCCAGGGGCCACCCCGTAGGCTCCGCCCGGCGCTCCCTCCATGCAGCAACCCAGCCGCACAGCCGCACGCTGCTGCATGCGCGGGAAGGCGAACAGTCACCGGCCTGGGCCCGCCACCTCCATGCGCGCACCTGCTCCTCGATCGGAGCGCTCTCCACGCCGTTTGTCGGCGCCGCCGCGCCGCCGCCGCCGCCGCCGCTGCCAGTGCGCGCCACGCTGGCGCCGCCCAGCGCGTGCTGGTGCTGGTGGGCGGGCATGGCGCGGTGGGCCAGGTACTGTGGGGGCACAGGCAGGGCAGCGGTACGTCAAGCTGCTGCCGCCGCACGCCGCAGGTCTGCTGCCAGCACGCACCAAGAACCAAGCTGCGCCCAAAGTGGCGGCGGGCAGCCGTGCACGCTGGCCCCGCCTCCCAGGCTATACCCTCGGCTCTGCTGCCCCCAGGCCCCTCCTCCACCTCGTGCTGCTGCCAGCAGCCCCACCATACCGCCACCTCGCACCGCACCGCCACCCTGTGACAGCAACATTGTACCGCCACCATGTACCGCCACCCTGCACCGCCCCACCTGCATCACCATCTTGGCGCTCTCGGTCTTTCCCGCCCCCGACTCGCCGCTGATCAGGATGGCCTGCCGCGCCTCGTCCATCATCATGGCGCTGTACGCCTGCGGTATGGGTGGGCGGTACGGGTGGCCGGGACAAGAACACGGCGCGATAATGCTGACAAGAGAGGAGGACAGGCAATTGTGATGCTGGCAACGGGCAGGGAGGCGCAGGGCAGGGCAGGGCAGGGCAGGGGGGGAACCGGAAAGGGCTGCGCAGGGGGCAGCGGATGCACGTCCTCCGCACGCCCGCAGCCGCCCGGCCCCAGCTGCCCTCCCGCCACCGCCGCCGCCACCCTGCGCAGCCCACCTGCTCGGCGATCGCGTACACGTGCGGCGACAGCTCCCCCAGCGGTACGCCCCTGTACTGCGCCATCATGCGCGGGCCGTACAGCTGGCGCAGCCGCTTGTGCGGGTTGGCCTGCAGGCATGGACACGGGAGGGCACACATTTCGGCGGCGGGGTTAATGAACGGGGGGGAGGCGAGGGCCCAGAGTCTAGTATCTGGCAGGCGGCGGCAGGAAGGTGCCAGGCAGCCGCTACGCGGACCGGCAGGCCACCGCCTGCTGCCGGCCAGGACAGCGGCCGGCATCCTGCCGTAGCTCACCGCGATGAGTATGTTTCCAGAGTAGGTGTAGATGGAATCCAGGCCGTACCGCACTTGCAGCGTGTGCAGGATGCTGCGGGCACGCGGGGAGGGAGGCGGCGGCACCAGGTCGGGCAGAGGAGGCGGGTGTGGACCGGGTGCCGAGTGCTTGTGCTGAGTCAGGCTGCGTCAGGCTGCGCCAGGCCGCTCCTGCAGCTGCTGCCGCCGCCGCTGCCCAACTCCCGGCGCTGAATAAAGAAAGAAAAGAGCAAACTGGCGGGAAATAGTACAGGAGACAAGGAGGGAAGGCAGCGTGGAGGCCCCGCCCGCCTCACCCCGGCTCGTGCAGGAAGTCGGATTTCACCAGATCATCCACGGTGTCGTCCCGCTCATTTTGCAGGCAGCAGTCGCCCGCGGGCAGCCCCGCCACCTCCTGCCCCTCCTCCGTCACCACATCCAGCAGGGGCTCGCCGCCGGGCTGCTTGTGTACCGCCTGCGGGGCGCAGGGAGGGGCGCGGCGGCGAGGCCGTGGGCGGCCGGGAGCGGGCGGTTGCGCAGCGGTTGCGCCCGGCGGCGGCGCTGCGGGGCGCCCCGGGGCGGGCGGCATGGGCTGGGCTGCCGCCGGCGCGGCTGTGGATTCGGGCTGAGCTGCGCAGAGGCTGGCTGGCTGCGGTAAGCTGGCCGAGAGGCCGGGAATGCCGCGCCTCGATACCACAACGCACCTGCACCGCCGCCCGCCGCCAGTGGGTCACTTTGCGCTTGCTGCTGCCGTCGGGCCCGGCGGCCTCCACGGGCACCCAGACTTGGCTGCCCTCGTGGTAAGTCGCCGACAGGCCCCTCTGCAGCTGGGACTGCGTCATGGTGCCCGAAATCGTGTTGGCGCCGGGGGGGCGCTGTCACATAGCCAAGGGCGTCGCACGGGGACCGGAACCGTCCCAGCACCGCCTCGCCGCCCGGCTGCGCAAGCTGGCGCAACGCAGAATCCCCAGTTCGAGGGACAGCGCTCTGGACGCCCGCTGGGACCGAAATCACAAGGTGCAGGCTCTGGGCGAGGCCAGAGCGGCGAAAGGCGACCCAACAGAACCGCCCAAACTTCCAATGAAGGCCGACTTTCTACCCCGCAAAACTGAGCAGGATGGCAGCACGGAGACTCGCTCATTTCATTGCTACCGCTTTCAAACATTTTGACTGTGATTGACGGCTTCCCTCCAAGGCAAAGCGGCGCCGCATTGCTCACGCAGCACACAGGGTTGCTTCAGCCTTGCCCTCCCACCCGACCTCCCTTCCTCCCCGACCGACAGCCGCACCTCCTGGGATCCCACAGCACCTTGCCGAGCGCTAATGGCCAGCCGCACGGGCCCGGGCCTCCTATTTGCTGCCGGCGCCATAATCCTGCTGGCCGGCGGCGTGGCGGCGGCGGCAGCCGACAAGCGCCCCCAGCTTTCCGACGAAACGCTGTACCAGCTCCTGTATGTGGAACCCAACCACTACCTCCAGTCCCTGGGCAACGTGAGACAGGGCAGGGGCGGGCCTGGGCAGCACCCACCTGCACGCCGGCACGGCGGCGGTTGGAGGCGCGGCACGGCAGCTGCACCGTGCATCGAACGCGGTCTCAGCTCCGCAAGCCACCCTGCCAACCCGATCTGCTCGCTGCTGACCTCCCGCGCTGCGCTGCAGATCAGCGATGTGCCGGGCAGCCTGTCCCGGACGTTCCTGAGTCCGGCGCACCGCCGTGCCGCGGGTCGGGTGCGTGTCCCCCTGGACTTTCCTTGTTCTGCCTGCCTGCCTGCCGGGTGCTGAGTCCTGGCAGGAACGCCCCACCGGCTGTGCAGGCGGCTAGAACAGACCCTGCACGCCTGCAGCTAGACTCCCTGCCTGCTGCCCGTGCCAAGCGTGCCAGCGCAGCCGCCCGCCGCCGCCAGCGCACGCGCGTGTGAGCACCCCCTTCTCGCCTGCCCCGCCCGCAGCTGCGGCGCTGGATGGCATCGGCCGGCATGCGCACATGGGCGGACCAGATGGCAAACGTGCATGGGATCGTCAAGGCCTCGGGTGCGCCCCGCTGGCAGCAGCTCTCTGGGGGGGCTGGGGTTCACATGTATTCCCCCCAGGGGTATGGTGCGCCGCCCTCGCCTCCCCCTGGCCCCTGCCGCTCTCCCCATCACCCCCACAGCTCACCTGCCGCCTCCCCTGCCCCTCTCCGCTGCTCCCCACTCCCCCACCACACACCCACACACCCACACACCCACACACACACACACACATGCAGACCCCGAGGCCCCCACCATCATCCTGGGCTCCCACTACGACACAGTGGTGGACGGCGGCAAGTTTGACGGCGCGCTCGGCATCATCACCGCCATCTCCGCGGTGAAGGCGGTGCTGCTCGAGGTGGGCAGCCCCTAAACCAAAACCCTAGCTGACTTTTTGGGCTTTTCTCTAAAGACCCTAGCCGGGCCGCCTGGCGTGTGTGTGGCGGCTGCCTGCTGCCCCGCCGCCGCCGATCGTGCGCCGCTGCTGCGTGCGGCGGCCGGCGCTGCGGTCCTGCTGCGGCCAC